TGTCTACTTGTAGAGTATTCCCCATACATTTAGATTTCTACTCTCTCTGTAGACAAGCGCTAAAGTGGCGTTTGGCTAAAGGCACTGAACACACAATCAAACGTTTTAGATGTTTATGTTAAAACATTGGCGTTCAATAGTCTTTGCTTATCATACCATACCATTATTTATAGGCGACAGGTGAGATCAAAAATATATATTGTAAAAATATTAACCAATAAAAAGGGCCAATATCACTATCATAGTGCTCTCATCCATCTCTGCAACTCATTTTCATCGCTTAGTAATTTATGCGTTAAAGTATGACAAACTCACTGCCAACTCATAACTTGGGACGATAATGTGAGACTTGAAAAGACATTTTATTCAGGATATTCCTTAGTAGGGGTTGTCTAATGAAATAGATAACTACATATTTGCGAACTAACAATTAGCGAGGCTATTCATGGTCACACGTATGCTGAGAATGTCCGGCTATGTCATCTTATGCTGTAGTAAAGCTTCGACATATTAAATTATAAGCACTTATGTACCATATTTTGATGGTATATGTTCATAAGTTTACTATTTTTTATTAGCTACTTCGATGATCAGTGAATGTAAGTATGACTGCTGTCTTAGGTAGGGTCCTGGCTTTCAATTCCTGAGATCAAGTGTTATAAGTATTTATTAGGGTATACATATAATTAAAAAAAAACATTTATTATACACAAAAACTTCCAAAAGATGTAACAGTAGTCCAATTATTATACAATTATAGTAAATTATAATACTAATACTAATAAATTATAAAAACAACTTACATTGAAATAATCAAATATAAATTTAGGATGAGTACAATAAGGTATATTTTTATTTTATTATACTATAGCGTCCCGCCTGAGGTAGGTTTCAGTAAAAACCTGTGTTTGGCCATCACTTTACTTAAGATGAATTGATGACATAGTTTATCTAATTAATCCTAAAAAGGGTTAGATACCCACTTTTTACCTCTTTGTTAAGTTGTCAAGATATATTATTATAGGGGCTTATTGTCATACACGGGGCATGGTTTCGGACATGTAGACGGACAGCATTACTGAGAATCGTCGATATCGTAATAAAGTATGCTTACACTACTGAGAATCATCGCCAAAAACCCAAAAATGTACCAATAATACTTTGCCTTGGAGGGGAACCGAGGTGTCCTCTTAAAGTATATTATTAAATTTTACCTCTAGTATAATTATGTTATATGTAGTCTGTAATTTTTATTGATTAATGTGTTTTTCTTATTTCCCTTGTATTGTGGTTTTCTTTTAATGTGCATCTACCACCCATTCCCAGATTCTTTTCAAAAATTCCATCCAAAGGTTGTCTGGAAGAAATCGCCTCGTGTGATAAAACCGCCCATTATACTCAAATTAATAGTAAAATGTATATTTTTTTTCTATCTATGCAATAAAGTATAAAATAAATAAATAAACTTGCGCTTTTTTCGTTAAATGTCTCCATATAGCATCAAAAATCTTTTTTACAGCGAATAAGATTTTAGACTACGTTTAAAATCCTTGTACTTCTTCATATTTGGCTATTGAACCATAAACTTAGTTGACTCTAGAGTTCGGGACTACTTAAACTGATTTTTTAAGGCGGCTTTTAGTCAGTAAGAGTCTGATACTCCCTCCCGCCTCACCCAGGCGGGAGCAGAATTTATCGTATGGTTATATTTTCCATAGCCAAAACCTTGGCTACAGAAAACGACAGAAATATAACACATTCATATTTGCACCATCTTAATAGCATTTGTCTGTCAGAGAGTCACTTAGTGAAGTTAGCAGTTCTGTAGTAAGTGTGTATTAGTATGGAGATTATTTAGTGGAACAAATACATATAACATGGTTTCTAAATCTCGGAAAGGGTAGGCAGAAGTATACATCAACCATGATGACCATGATAACCATATCATGGTCTCGGTCATATCTGTATTATCTAAACAATACTTTCTCTGAAGAAGGGGTTCTCATTAACCATAAGCCGCGTGGCTTGTGGATTGTCCATCCCTAAGTGCCTGGTTGCAGTATTCCCCAAAATCTACGTACCATTTTTTTTTTTATAAAAACGTTGCCCCACGTTGTTGTTTGATTATCTCCTGTGTCGTGGGTGCGTTTACAAACATACAAGTTCACATACACATGACACCCAGACCCGAAACAACAATTTATGGATCGCACAAAGTGTTGTTCCGTGCGGGAATCGAACCCGCGACACGTTGCACGGCAGCCGGTTGCCCAGCCACCGCACCAACCGTGCAGTTGATATATTGTAAACAAAATATTAATTTAAACTATGATATTACTTTTATATATTTTTATCTGTTAAGTATAAAACAGTAGTTTCCTAAATTTTATTTTTATGTCCGTCTGGTACATTAATTTAAAACTTTAGTCGCGTATTTTTTCTTTTCTCTCAAGATTAAATACTTTCGTCGATATATTAATTTGAAATATCCTGTGACGTCACAGCGTGTCACACTTTGTAGCACGTTATGACGTAACGACCTCCCACTCCTAAACTTAGCGCCATTTTATCTAAGTATTGCAACTTAAAACGAGAAAATAAAAAATACGTGTCTAATATTTTTTCATTATCTAACTGACGGACTAATTAGATTTTTAATTTTGATACCTTGGAAACTACAAAATTCCTGTCTTGAAGATTTGTAAAAATAAATTTATGTTTATTGAATCAGAAATGGAATGTGGAAGTAATTCCACGCAAATATCTAGTATATCTTAACAAAAGCTAAACTTTGTTATTTAGGTCACAATAATGCCTTATTTTTCATACATTTACTATTTAAAGGTAACCTGAACGTGACACACTGAACTGTTATTGAAAGATCACATGATTTCTCTATCAAAATGCTTTTTTGTTATTTTGGCAATTTTATTTTGAGATATTTTTAGATTTATAATAGAATAAGTCTAGAAGAATATGGATCAAAAACACACATGATCATTTTTACAATTACCTAATATTTCATCAAATTGATACAAAGGTAAAAGTTAAGACAGACATTCGAGTTTGATTTAATGAAACTAAATAGATGATATAAAGCGCAGTGGAAGCGTGCTGGGCCCATAACCTAATGTCCAATAGAATAATTAAAGGTAATTCCAGAACTAAACTTTATTTAAATAAAAATGCACGACTAAGCTATAAAACTATATTCACGGAACAGGGCGAAAGTACAAGAGAAAAACATAGACAACACAAGTGAACGGAGTGACACTGACAGTTAACACAAAAACGTCACATTACATTATGTTATCTGTGGTTTGCAATTAGTAAACTAATTACAACAGAAACCCTGTCTGCAATTTTATTAAAATGAAAAGTGTTCTCTCTCTTTTATACTAATCACTAGGAACCATGAAAAGTCCAAACGATTCCTTGTTCAATACAAACAGATCCACAAAAAGCTCAGCGCATTATAATTAAATTTTATTAAGTCTTTCCAATAGCATTTACAGAACAGTCGATGTTAGATAACAAATGTTTAACTCCACTCATTATATAGCGTATTTTCTTGTCAGGTATATATGTAGCAGTCAAAGTATGGTTACTCTCTTCTAAATGAAAAATGTAATTTCAACACTCAAAACTCTTTGAGTGTAGTAAAAAACTGTTCCTAATTTAAAGCACAATAAAACCATAGCATTAAAACTATGCTCTCGTTTGCAAACTTACCCAACAAAGGTTACCCTTCTCAAGGAAATGGAAGGTACATCTATAAGAAGGAAAACCACAAGTTTTAGGGTAAAACTATAACCTTACATCTTCACTGGACGAAGGTACATGTGGGCAGACACGTAACATATTGTAGTGTTGGTTTAAAGGTGCCACTATTATGCGTAAAACTTAAGTTCATTGTCAAGATACCGACTTTTTAGAGTATACATAATATATCGACGTAAAATGAAACGTCAACGCTGAATGATGATGCCGAATGTAGATAAATTTTCTATTATTATTATTTCTATACTGGTAACGGCTTTATATGTGAAACTGCTATGTTGTTGAGATCTGTATAATTATACCATATACTGAGTAATAAATGATATTACGTATGTCTCCCAATCACGGGACCACAGGTTACCGGTCATTTGGGAAGCGTATGACGGGTGCAATGAGACAATTGCGCAGAGGCCCTTTTGAAAGCTTTAATTTTAATGCCATGAGACATGAGATTAAATTGGTGACCATATCACTATATGCACTATGAAAATGCACCCAAGGACGGTCCTTGGTTAGTGTAAATAATGGAATTATTATTTTTTATTTTAGTTGCGGAAACATTAAAACAATTCAAGCATTATTTAAAAGTTCTTTTATTCTTCTAGAACGCACCTCCTGTTGTCCCACCACCACATGTTTACTTTTTACCAGCTACGGGATGAGTATCGTGTAATACAGGGTGAACTATATACATAGGGAATATTTCCAAACACACTCACTGATAAACAATTTGCTGGAATCGAATCAAGGATTCATAACAGGATGAATTTATTGTTGAAGTTTTTCATGTTAAAACTTACTGTAAAGGTCTAGATAACAGAACATAAAACTTAGGTAGGTACAGCAACAACAAGGAAAACAAATTAAATTCCTGTCATTTCTATTAAATACAGGAATTTCGCTGTAAAAGAATATCGATTTAATAAACTCAAACTAAATATGGCATCAAAACGCAATAGTAGCACGAAACAAAAAAAAACACAACACATATTCAGGTTTCACGTACATCTAAACAACTGAAAACAAACGTAAAAAACCACATAAATGAAAGTATATAAATAAGTATTATTAAATTTAATGTTATCATACAATTTTGTTGCCTAAAATTGAAATGCAAACTATGTTAGTAGCATTCCGGGTGTGATTAAGGCGGTGGGCGGGCAGGGCGGTTGCCGCCTTGCCGCTATATAAGCCGGCGTCAGGGCGGCCGACTGCACAGCACCACTTGTTGCCGGCGCCAGTGCCAGCTTGTTGCCAACGTCGCCCGAACCACACTTCGTACGAATCAGGTAAGTGGGAAAAAGGAAAAATAATAAAATTCTCAACCGGAAAAATTTTTTTTTTCGTAATCTCTAGAGCGGAAAAAAATTAAAATGAAAGTTAAAAAAAATAAAAAATTAATTTAAAGTTGATGATTCTATTCATAGATAATCAAAAATACGTTTTAATTTAAAATACTTCAAGTAAACGTTTAAAAATTGTGTTAAAACTTTGAAATAAGTATTAGAAAAAAAGTTCAAACAAATAATGAAAATATTCAACGTGAAACTTTATAAGATAAGGCTATTTAACTGTGTACAAAGTGGAGCGGTTTATTTGAAAAACTTTTGCAAACCCACATCACAATTTTGATATTATTTCAAAGTTATAATTTCAAACTTTGTCGGTAAATATTTCATACTGACACAGTTTTAATACCTTCATTTATTCAAACACAACAAACAATTCTGTTTTGTATTGTGCAAATAAGTTTAATATATTTTTGACGTATTTTAACAACTAAATTATTTTATTTCAGTGTATTTCCTTAACTATAAATACTTAATATTTTTATGTATTAAAGTACAAAATAATTTCAATAATCAAATTTGAATACTTAATAACCTTATACCAAACCATAGAAATATTTCTTCAAAAATACAGTACAACCATAGTAATTTTGTATTTTAACAAATTGTAATTCTTAACAAAATCCCAAACGCCTATTAACACAAAACTTATATTGTTAATTAAATTAACGTTTAACAATAATCGTCTAAATGACGTCAACGCCCTCTATTAAACAGTTACTCACAGAATGTTAAACTTTCATTAATATTTAATTAATGACTGAGAACTTCGCTTTTTACAGCTTAACTTGAACTTCTATACTAATAAACCTCGTAACACTCAGTTCAAAAACTATAAAAAACTTTTCTAAACGTTACCAAAGGCAATTGTCGGGGAAATATTAGAAAAGTTAGACTTCAAGTTCATATAAGCCTTTGAAACTAAGGTCTTTTAATATTAGGTACTAAAAATACCATCATACAGGAACATATAATGTCTATTGACTATAATTTACGAAGATTTAATATAATATGACAGTCAAATTTAATATGATTTTCTTTTCTTTACCAGGTATATATAAACAAAATTGCACACTATTTGGAACATTCTTATTGTTTCAACAAAGCAAATAAACTTTTATTGCATTTCATTCTAATATAACTTTTTATACGATGGCATCTTTCCGTCTCTACAACAAAATAATATTATGAACAAACACAAACATTAATATTTCATATTCGTTCCATTGGTGACGCATTTATCAGAACAATACCGAGCAACCGAAACCTTTTGCAAACCAATATTTTCTTTTGCTTCAATAAATTATTTTAATATTCGCCACGATATTGTTCGTAAGAAAACAATACAATGGACAAGAAAGAATTGATTAATAACATAGCATTCAAACACGAAATCGAAGAAACTCATCGAAAAAAATGTAAAAGAAAATCTCAAAAAATATGTTACAGAAACTTATTTTACCAGAAAATGAAAATCCTTATAGAAAGGAGCAATTGAAAGTTTGGGAACACCAAAAGTGTAAAAAAAAATGGATGAATTCTTTCATATCTACCACATTTTTAAGAAAACATTGAAGTTTTGTCGAAAATATTCAGTGCTTTCAAAGACGATTATCAAAGCATACTTGTATTAAGATTTTTCTACCAGTTTCCATCCGTCAGTCAAGATCAGAACTGAGAAACATTTTTCTATAACCATCGAAGTTTTACAACCTCATAGAAACTTCTTAAGTAAAACCTTTCTTATTTTATATACAATATATAAAACTATAGGATGCAACCTAACTATATTTTATCCAGCCAAAAAAGGAGCAAAAGGTCCCAAGTGGATATTGTATATTTTTATATACGTATACGTACTTTATACATAAACAATATACTACGCAGTAATCTGATATTGATGATTCGGCCAGGGTTTTTAGCTTTGCCATAAAAAAGTTGATATCTCTATGAAATCTTCCTGTTTTAGTATTATAGGTTACTCTGACGTAGCTTTTAAGAATATTTCGTGATTATACTAGGTATAACTTACGTGAAACATACTAAACTAAGTGTTATGTTTTTCATCTTAATCATGTAATTGTTTGATTCGTTCATTTTATTATCACAAAAATATAAGACTCTAAGATGGCGTGAAACTAGACGAGTTTCTTGTCAAACGTTAACAATTTTGTGATATTTTGTATTAAACCGTGTCTTATGACAGCAGACCTTTGATTCTATAAACACTTTCTAAACTGATTCTTTTAAACTGTAATTTTCCATCTATCATTCAAGGATATGGTGACAAAACTTCTTATAGAAGAGACTTTTACTCTAGCTGTGGATCGACACGAGCAGTTAGATGTTTATAATCGACTAGTTTTTGCTAGCGTCTTTGCTCGCGTTCCTGTGAGCTATATAGCTCACAGGAAGGTATGGTCATATGACCATACCAGACCATAATCTACCCCTGTTTTTTATTTTTTTTATTTAATATGCTTCATGCTCAAAATGTTATGTAATGTTCGAAACCTACCAACGGCAAGTACCAATGGGACTTTTTCCGAGTTCTATGTACTTTCTAAGATTATTTAGACACCACTGACAAACGGTGAAGGAAAAACATCGTGAGGAAACCTGGACTTATAATTTCTAATTATAAGTTTGAAATCGCCAACCCGCATTGAGCAAGCGTGGTGATTAACGCTCTAACCTTCTCCGTGTGAGAAGAGGCTTTGCTCAGCAGTGGGCATTTATAGGCTGTTGATGATGATGATGATGATGCTCAAAATGTACAAATAGGTGGACTTAATGCCGAAGGCATTTTCTACCAGTCTGACCTTTGGGTGATGCAGAGAAGAGTAAATGGTGCAAGAGGCAAGCAATGATTTGTTGTTTGATTGACCTGTTCCAAATTTCATCTAAATCCGATCACTAGTTTTGCGTGAGAGTAACAAATAGACACACTCAGATACACATACATCCTCACAAATTATCGCATTTATAATCATAGTTGAATCTTAATTCTTTACAAATACGTATGTAACTTAATATCAACTTAAGGTATTATTTACCAATTAACATTGGTTTGTCTTGATAACACAAACAAAAAGACGAAGTTCACGTGAACCATTATCATCTACAGAGTGATATTTTCTTTTTCATATTTACATTAGTGTCGCATAACGAGTCGGGTAAACAAGAACCTTTCTAATTAACCTATATGAAGGTATTCTAAGGTTATCATAAAACTAAACAATGTAAGAAGAGAGCCAGTATATCTTTCTGGAGTAAAAGAGGTCGTATATCTTTCTGCTAATTAAGTTTATTGAAACATTTTACTTTCTACGTAGGAGGTCTAAGATATTCTTACTTTTTATTTGTTGAAGAATATTATTCTAAGTTTTATATTATTGTAATATCACACTTAAATACGAAACAGAAATGGAATTCATGGAATATACATGTACGAGCTATAATGCTCATACAGCAGTTATAGATTAAATGCCAACGTTTATAATGCATCGAACTATTTTTTTTTTTAAAACGTTGTCTCTCACTACAATTTTCTCCTATGCCGTTAGTGAGCACATAACACCTGAATCCGGCACAACAATCTGTGTATCACACAAAGAGTTGTTCCGGGCGGGAATAGAACTCGCAACACGTTGCAAGGCAGCTAGTTGCCCAGCCACCACACCAACCGTGCAGTCGTGTTATTAATCGTAAACAAGTCGTAACAATGTCGGTTGCTATCACTTGCTAATATGTAGCAATCGAAACTTAAAAAAAACGTAATAGTTAATACGTAAGGTGTGGTTCAGATAACTAAACGTAGCCTTTAATTAGTAGTTAGAAAACAAAGAAGCAAAACTAAAAAAACTTCGGAATATGAGTTATTTCCTACAATCTACAACTATAATCGGAGTTGTCAACGACGAGAAATATTCAACAATACAAAAAGCAAATTCGCGCAGGAATCAAAACTACAATACCTACGTTGTGCAGTTGCCTTGTTTTGGAACGTAGTCATGTCCATACCTAAACGTTTTATCGATATATCAGCAAAAGCCACTTCAGACTATCAAAATTTTAATTTAAAAAATTGGTTCATTTTCATTCGTTTGATGAACCGGCAAAGGCCTTTGAATGGAAAATTTTGGGTAAAAAAGCACTCCACGTGCTATGAATCGTACCTACGTCGTATATGAAATATAGTTTTTGATACAGGATATGAGCAAACTCAGTTTTTCCTAAGAATTGTTAGAAATTAGTTTTTTAAATGTTCTTAATCAATGTGTTTAGCACAAATTTTGGAAATCATTACGTTTGACGTTGCACAGCCAATTTTTTTTAAGTTACAATGTACCTGTATTGTCCTTCATCTGATTAACTATCCATAATTAATTATACGCATTCCAATATATGGATGCAACGGAGTCATATGTGTCCCCTAGGCTTGTCTTTCAAGTGGAAGAACTAGGTCACTGTCGACACTCGATGGCCGAGTAACTCCAAGTGACGTATGCACTATTGTTAACTAAAACACCTTGCTATTATGTTGTTAATTAGTTTTTGGTTATATATAGGTACCATTTTTTAGACCTAGCCCTACATTAGTATTTTCTCCTGGGTGCGTTTACGAACATACAATAACATACACACTGGGTGTCACCCAGACCCGGAACAACAATTTTTGGATCACACAAAGGTTTGCTCCGTGCGGGAATCGGAACCGTTACCCGTTGCACGCCAGCCTGCTGCGTAGCCACCGCACTAACCGTGCAGTCAAAATATTACTCAAACTTATGTAGTTATAGCAACTTAAAAAACCTACAGTTTACAGTGGGTAGTTGATACGCAAAGCATAAAAATCATCAGTACTCTGTTTTAAATTAGGAAAGATTTTACATACTGCGTATAACGTAGCCTACAGATAGACGATGAGTCATACCCAA